ACTCGCTGGACATTATGGGTATGTGGGGAGCCCCATCCTGCCTTCTCCTCCTTGCTACATAGTTATGAAATCCCTAATAGCACAGGCTGCTAGGAAGTCCTTCCCACTTAGCCCCAAGCCCTGGGTGTGTTCTGAGGCAGGAGAGCATAGCAGTGCTAAGGAAACTTCACTCACTCTTTCTGGTAGAACTGGGATGAGAACATCAGCAGACCACAGTGGTGTCACAGTTATTCAGTGTTGGCAAAAGCTCTGAGTGGGAGGTTGGTCTACAGATGCCCAAAATCCCCTTTCCAACATCTTGTCATGGGGTGGGAGCTGCAAGCATGACGTTTCCCAGAGCAGAGGACTGGAGGGAACCTCCATGTAGACAAAAACTTTTTCTGTCCTTGTTCTTCCCCTCCAGTGATGATGCAGATATTACCAGATCGCTGTGTGCCCATTGCAAAGAAGGAAATACTGTACATGGGCACTTTTGGCCTCGCATGCTGGCTTTCAGGCATCATTTTCATTGACCGTAAGAAGAAGGAAGAGTCCATTGCTATCTTGACAGAGGTGGCACACACCATGCGCAAAGACAACGTGAGTGGACGAGACTTCTTGTGGAGAGCAGGAGGCACTGGAAAATGTTAATCTTGATGTGGATAGAAGGTGATCCAGTTCTTTGGACTGTGCACTGAGCAGAACCTCTGGTGGGTTAGCTGTGCTTTGGGCCCAGAAAGTGCTTGAGGCAGGGGAAGCGAACGCCTCTGCATAGTCAGGAGCAAGCAGATCAGTCCCAGGAGAATATGTGGTGGAGTCACCATCCCTGGAAGTGTTCAAGAAACATGTAGATGTGGTACTTACATTTGTGGTTTAGTGGGCAGTGTTGGTGGTAGGTGGACGGTTGGAATGGATGATCTTAGGAGTCTTTTCCAATCTTAATGATTCTATGATTCCATGTCTGTGCAGTGATTTAGAATAGCAACTGGAGATGCCTCCATCTCAGTGTCTTCTCCCCTCCTGCAGTTCCATGTCTTGATCTTCCCTGAAGGAACTCGCAATCACAGTGGCTCCATGCTGCCCTTCAAACGTGGGGCATTCCAGCTGGCCGTGAGAGCCCAGGTGAGAGCCGCCTTCCTCCTGCCATTTGGGATGCAGTTGGGCCACCAACAACCTGGTCCCTCACTTCCCTTTGGACTGAGCACCCACCCATCCATACCTGCAGGTGGTACAGGGCGATTGATAGATTCACTCACTGCTGACTGCTTCCCCACAGATCCCCATTGTTCCTGTAGTGATCTCTTCCTACAACAGCTTCTACAGCCAGAAGGAGAAGAGATTCACATCAGGTGAGGATCACCTGAGGCTGGGTGCTTGCATGGCCTCGGAGGAGCCCTGATGTTGGTGGGAGATAACCATGTGCTTATGTGGGGGCAGAATCTTGGGCTTCAGAGGGAAAAGGTAGAAAAAAAGTCTTTCATTTTCCTACAGAGAAAAACAGCCCACTTTGTTCCGCCCCTTTCTTCCCTGATGCCAATCCAAAATGGGCTTCTGCAACTTCCTGTCCTCCCTTAGGCCAGCACATGCTGTTTCCTAGGAGCAGGACTTGCAGCTGAAATTCTCATTCCTGTCATCATTTGAACCTCTGCAGTCACTTCCCTGAAGGCAGACATCTCGAAGACAAAGTCAAACGCTCCATTATCTGTTTCTGCTCAACTTTCTCTCACTGGGCCTATTCTGTCCCCTGCTGGCCATGCAGGAACCTTTCAGTCCTGGAAGCATTCCCCTGCTGGCAGTTTGATGGGAGCACGAGCAGGGGTTCCAGATGTTTAATGTGTGGCGTGGGTTTATGCCCTCCTCTTTTGGGAAGCTCTTCTGCATGCTTCAGTTCACCAAGGCTCTGCCAGCAACACTTCTGGATCTTATTTCCTAGCATACATGTAAAAGCATGCAAAGGTGTTGAAAAGTAATGCAGGCGCTCCCCAGATGTTGAGGTATCTGTGCAGGCAGCATCTTGTCTCCGCTGGCCAGAACAAGTGCCCCTGGGTACAGGAACAGAAGAGTGTGAGGAAAACTCCCTAGTTTAATTTTTCCGTTTGCAACAGTCCGTGCCTCCTGAAAGAGGTATGATATATCTCGGCAAACCAAGGATTTCTGGAATGGTTTCTCTCATCCCATTTCTAAAAGAAAGAACTCTGCTGAATTCAGTACACATAGATCAGAGCATGACCAGTTTGCATGCATTGTGCTACAGACCTCTCATTCTCTTTGCTCAGACAGACTCTGAGGTCTAGGGCTACCATATGATGGATTAATTCTTTCCACCATTCCACATGTTGGTTTGTTTTTGTTTTTGTTTTTGTTTTTTTGCATTGGATGTAGTCAGACATTTGTGCATGGTGGTCTCTATGGACAGGGAAAGTCTGGTTTGGGTTTTTGCTGTGTGCATCTGGGTTGCTACACAGCTGTTGGTGTGTGAAATAATGTCTTGCACCTATTTCTGTCTTGCTCCTTGGCTTGCACCAGTTGCTCTGCTTTATCTTGTATGCAACACTTACAACACTCCCCCTCCCTGACCCTCCTGTCTTGCTCTTCCAGGGACGAGCACCATCCAGATCTTACCAGCAGTGGAGACAGTTGGTCTGAGCTCAGATGATGTTCCCAAGCTCACTGAGCAGGTCCGTGACTCCATGATGAGTGCCTATCAGAGGATATCAGGAATGACAAATGGGGGTTCCCATGAATGATCTCACAACCACAAAAAGGCCCAGAAGCAGAAAACACAAAGCCTGCAAGCCTGACAGTGACAGGCAAAAGCATAGAATCATTTGATTTGGAAGGGACTCTTGAAGCCAACACCCACAGCTCCATCAGTGCTCAGAACCCCTCCAGCCTGACCTTGGCTGTCTGCAGGGATGGGGCACCCACCAAACCTCTGGGCAACCTGTGCAGTGCCTCACCGCCCTTCTTGTACAAACCTTTCTCCTTGTATCCAATCTAAATCTCTCGTCCTGTCACAACAACCCCTGCTAAAGACTCTGTCCCCTTTCTTACAGCCCCTTTAGATACTGAAGGCCGCCCTCAGCTCTCCCCACAGCCTTCTCCTCTCCATGCTGCACAGCCCCAGCTCTCAGCCTGTCCTTGCAGGGATGTGTTCCATCCCTGGGATCATTTTTCTGGCTCTCCTCTGGATGCACTCCAACAGCTCCACGTCTCTCCTGTGCTGAGCACTCCCCATCTGGACGCGGTGCTCCAGGTGAGGTCACAGCACAGAGCAGAGGGGCAGATCCCCTCCCTGCCCTGCTGGCCACACTGCTCTGGGTACAGCCAGGGGACGGTTGGCTTTCTGGGCTGTGAGGGCACACTGCTCGTGCCCAGCTGCCACCCACCGGTACCCCCAGATCTTTTTGGCAGAGCTGTGCTCCATCCTTACACCCCACAGCTTATACTGATAGCAGGGGTTGCCATGACCCAGGTGTGGGTTCCCACCGCTCATTTTGACCAGGTCTCTCTGGATGGCATCCTGTCCCTGAGGCACACTGACCACACCACACAGCTTGGTGTGATCCGCTAACTGCACAGGGTGCACTCAATCCCACCGTTAATGTCACTGATGGAGATCATAAAGAGCTCTGATCCCAGCGCAACTCACAACCAGCTCCTCATCCATTGAACAGTCCACCCATCCAGTCCATACCTTTCCAATTTGGAGACAAGGATGTTGTGGTGGACCGTGTCAAAGAAGAAAGTCCCCAGAAGAAGAAAAACGTTTAAGTGGTAAAATGGTGGTCAACTTCCTTTCTGAGAACTGTGCTTCCTGAGCTCTATGGATGGACACTCAATGGACAACTGGACAATAGTTTGTAATCTTAACCCTGAGAGCTTCTTTCCATCTTGGACCCCAGGACAAGGTGGATCTTTTCTGTGACCATTGCTGTGTGCTTAATCACCTTAAAAGCCAACAAGATGGAGGCATTTATCCCAGAGCCTGTGGCCATCCTGCCTGAGGAGTTGGTTGTCTTGTTAGAAAGTCCCTTGGCCCTCCTTTTAGGCAAAGGGAGGCTTTGTGTTCCATGGTTGGTCAGATCTTGAAAGCACAAAGGGAATGTGCCCACAGGATTTAGAGGCAAACTGCAGAAATACATCACTTGAAGTCCTTGTCTTGCCCTGAAAATGATTTTTTTACGCAACGTTTTTTTTTATCCTCATCCGCAATGGGAGCCGCAGCTCCTGATCTCTGGAAGCTTCCTGGTTTTTCCCTGTCTTCTCTATGTCCTCAACACAATTTCTGTTGCAGGCGAGGGAGAATAGAGCATGAATAACATATAAAATAAACACACTTTAAAAGCTTGAGTTTCAGGTACTGAGCTTCTTTAAACCATGGGCTGTACTGTGATTAAAAAGGAAAAGTGGTTTGTGTCTGTGTATGGCCAACTTTGGAGGCCATGGCCTGGAATAGACAGCAGCTCTCTTAAGTTTTGGGACAGATATCTGACGTGCCAGAATGGATGCCAAAGGTCAGTGAGCGCAATTAAGAATTTTATTAATGCCCAGCAGAGCTGTCTCTGTGCTTCAAAATGCAGCTGAATTCTCCAGTGTCTTCAGAGACTGAAATCTCACTGTGAACTGGAAGCAGCCCCCAAAATCATGCTTTTGTGCAAAGGAAGAAGGACGTGATGGGTGTTGCAATAGAGATTACGTGAACTTGCTAAACTCTGAGTGCGGCAAAGAATAAGGAATTTGATTTAGAAGGCTAAATCAGCATGTAATAAACTGCAATTAAGAGATTGTAATCAAGGACAACATTTGAAACCTGTTTCATGCAAGCGCTTTGGCTTCCAGATTTGCCACCCCTTTATGACGGGGTGTAGAAAAACGGCTGTGCCTTTAACATTCCTAAAAACACAGAGCACCTAACCCAGTCTTGTAAAACCCTGACAAGTTTTAGGGCAAGAGATGGCCAAACATCTCTGCTCTGCATGAAGGATTGCACTGTTTTACACATCCGTGGGATAATACCATCACAGCAGAGCAAACACAGCAGTAGACTCAGTCCTGAGCTCCTCTCTGGAAGCAGGTGCCAGAGCCTCCATCAGCTGCAGTTGGCTCAGCAGGACATATGGGCAGCAGGTTCCAAAAAGCAATGGGGTGCCATCATTGGGAGTTTCCAGCACTGGTTGCAAGAGCAGGATTAGAAACTGCCCATGAAGCAAAAAGGGCTACTGAGCATCAGAAAGTGTTTGTTGGGCATCTACTTCTCTCCATATTTCCATGTCACTGCATAGCTTAACATAGCAATAGGCCAATAGGAACATCATGGCAGATAGCCTGGTTCACCTGTGTCTTGTTTCACCTCTGGGACACTGTGGTCAAAAAGTACCTCCAGTGACCTGGAACCTGAAGGCCCTTTGGAATTGTGCTTTTCGGGACAAACTCATGGTGCTTGAGGAAGTTTCACTCTGAGCTGTTGGTTTTCAGTGCCCTGCAATTTCACTGCTGGCAGGTTATGCAAAGGCAACTCAGCTTCCTCCCAGCCTGGTGATAAAAAGGTCACGGGAAGCGGCTCAACGTGTCTCACTGACCATAAGATGCAGTTCATAAACAAGTCAGGAAGCTGCTGTTCAGAGGGAAGGGAAGTGACACCTTTAGGTTTCCAAAGCAGTCACCACAATTCAGCCCCTACACCCAGTGTCTTTCTTACATACTGGTATCCCTCTCACATACTGTGAATGAAACTGACCATGGGAACTGCGCGGAGATATCTGTGCTCTGTGCAGGACGACAACATGATAATCTATATGTGGGTTGCTAGAAGGAAAAACTCCTTCTGCTCTGTCTTCTGCAAGATTCTGTTCTCTTCACATCCACTTCCAGCTGGAAGAGCTTATGCCAAAGTACATGTAGTTGGAGACATGTAGTTGTCTGTTCTTTATATGAAGGCACTCATGTATCATGTACTCCTGTATCATAATTATGGCTGTGTGTGTTAGACTACTGTTGTGTCAGGCCATGCACTGTCAAAATAGCTCTAGATACTCCTCAAAAGACTGTAAAGCTTTAGGGAAGGCAAGGGGAAAGCAGAGACTTAGTCTGGCAGAGTAGAAGATTAAAGTGGATTGAGTAATCCTGATTGATTTCTTCATGGACATCTTTGCCGTGAAGGAAGACTCTGGCTGGAATAGATTACCTGGCTTGGAATACGTTGCTGAGGGAAGGACACAGGGACTTGGACAGGGTGGATTGTCTGGGATTTTCCATCTGGTTGATAGAAGAGTTACCTTCTAAGGGATGGACTGCAAGGAGATCAGGCTGACAGCACTGATCACTCAGCACCCCCACTCAGACGAGTGGGGCTGAAGGGATGGTCACAGTGTGCCTGGGGGCAGGATCACCCCAATGACCTTGATTCCTTTATTTCTTTCTTAATTCTTTTATATTCTTTCTTGAAGAGCATTCGAACGAGGGAAATCTCCTACGTACCTTTGCTGCCCCTCTCAGGCTCATCTTTCCAGGCTGAGAGATCGAGCACGTCAATCTCATGGCAATCAACAAAGTTCCCAGGGCTGCTGGCCCTGAACATGTCCCTGGGTAGCTTTTTGATACGGGTGTTGTCGCAGATCACTCTTGGCATTGAGATTTTTGTCAGTTCTTCCAACTGCTGCGGAGTGAAAACTCCTGGGTTCTCCCACCAGAACCTGCAACGATATTTTCAGAAGCAACTTACAGTATTCTTGAAGTGTGATGGCTGTTTCCCAAAATAGACACCTGGCCCAGGTGAATCTCTGCTCAGATCCACCTTCATGCATCAGGCAGTAAGCACTACTCTTTGGAAAGAAGTCTGGATTCTGCCACGCTCAGCTGCCTCTTTAACTTTATCACTGGGACACAGGGACTGATCCTTCCCTTTAGCACCCTGAGAGCAAATCTCACCTCAGGCAGAGACTAGTGCAGATCACCCTTGGGCTGGAGCTGGCATTCCTCAGCCACGTGTGTCTCTACAAATCAGCTGTTAAGAAAGAGCCCTTCGGCAACCCAGGCTAAAACCAAAGCGTGAGCCCTGCTGCGAGCACTCGGTGACACGTGGGAGGTGGGGTGGGAATGGCATGTTCTCAGAGCCACCTACCTGTCCCCATCACGCAAGTTCCTGAACTGGGTGCCAATGATGCAGGCCAGGAGGGGCCCAACTCTGCCCCGGGGAATGAAGGGCTCTGCAATTGCCCCAATCCAGAGGTCAATATTGTCCGGTGTCCCATACAGGACCATGAACTTCTTGGCCAGTTCACTATTGCCCAGCACCTCAGAGAGCTCATCCACTGTTTGAGGCTGGGAGAGCCCACAGAAGCGCCTCCAGGCATTGTAACCTGCAACAACAGGGACAGAAGCTGCTCAGAGCCCCTGCTGTCCACCTGTCTGCCTACAGTAAGAGCCAAACAGACCCCACAGCCCTCAGCAGCATCTTCCTACGGTACTAAAGGTTCTGGAAGATATTCATAGCTGGATAGAAACAGTTACAACAAATGCTATGTCAGTGTTAAGGTTTAGTGTAAGGGTCAGAGTTAGGATTAAGGGTTAGAGTTGCAGTTAGGGTTCGGTTTGGGTATCGTTGGGTTAGGTTTAGGGCTGTGATTTGCTGCAGGGTTAGGGTTTTGGTTGGGTTAGGGTTAGTGTTTCTGGGTTGCGTTGGGGTGATGGTTTAGGGTATGGGTTTGTTTTAGGATCACAGTTAGGGTTTTCACTAGGTTTAAGGTTGGAATTTAGGATTAGGGTTAGTATTGCCACTAGGGCCTGGGTTAGTTTTAGGGATACGCTGAGGTTTGGGGTTAGAGTTAGTTTTTAAGTGCCTTTTAAGGAATGCATACACTAAACGAATATTTCGGGTCTTCTGCATTGTTCAGCATAATCTGCCAATTCAAACCACCAGGTGCTGAGCATGACTGGATCTGCTCTTACATTTTTGGGAGGCAACATTTCCAGGATTAAAATCCTAGCAAATAGCACCTCGTGGTTGTGTTTACCCCAAAAACACCCATTCCTCTGCAGCATGTGGAGCCAATCACCACTGAGGGCACATGCCACTTCTGTTCAGAGCTGTGGATTGTCTGAAGACATGGAACAACTCTTGGTGGGCAAAGAGCATATGATCTGAAGAGCTCATGTGAAAACTGAGCTTGGTTGATTGGAGCTGTATCTGCTCTACCTCTCACTGTTTTCTTTGCAGTACACCATTGCTTCTACCCATCTCTAACAAATTTTTCCAAATATCACATTTGCCTCCCAAGCCCTTCTTAAACTCTTTGTAAATCCCCCAGAGAAAGATCTTTACAACATAAAGAGCTCTTCTCTGAATCTGACTGCCATCTCAAATCAAAGTACCATTTTTTCCCCATCGGCGTACATTCGCAGAGCTGCTATGACCAGCAAAGGAAACGGAGCATTGCCCACAGGGCAGGGCCTGAGTCTCCTTACCTGGAAGTCCATGGTCTCTTCCCCGCTGCAAGTTCAGAGCTGCTAGATCCAGACCCATGATCTCTGTTTGCTCAAAAAGGTGGTTCTGCAGCTCCTCAACGAGCATTTGATTCTGTTTCATCAGTTTCGCACGATCCACCACCATGCCGCGTATCAGCGGATCGATGCCACCTGCACTCATTGCAAACCAAAAAGAGACTTTTTGCCAAGTTCCAGCTTTGGTGGTCCCTTTCCAGCGGATGGAGCGGTGCTGTGCTAGATGTTTTTTCTACTCTGAGCAGTGTGTTCACCTAGACTCACATTTCCATTTAAACATATGAACGTACATATGTACGAATCTGCAAAACCCAGTTGATGAGGCTTCTCCTTAGCAACTATACTGCCTACTTCTCCCGTTCCCTCAGCATACATACATCCACTTGTTACCCACCAGGACCTCCCAGTCCTCTTCTGCAGAGCTGCTCCTCAAGCAGTCAGTTCCCAGCAAGTACTGATGCATGGGATTCTGTCCAATGCTTTGTTTTGCAATTTGTTTTTGTTTAGAATTACCTACCAGTTAGCAAATGTGTTTTAGAACATGAAATGTGAAAATGAAATCAGTTTTTGTCTCTTTTTGTATGTTTTTCAAAGCCATTAAGAAGACAGAATCATTAAAACACAGCAGAAATTAGTGAATTTGTATACGTCAGAATATTTTCCGTAGTAAAATAATTCATTTTGGAAGAGACAACCATCTTTCTTGGGAAGATTCTTGCCTGAAGACATTAACTGTCTAAGAGCTGGATCCTGCAACTCCCTTTAGAGTCTTGAAGAGGGAGGGCCACCATTAGAAAGCAATTATCCCATCAGTTGGATTGGATGTGTTACCCTCTGACAACCCCTACCAGTTACAGAAGGATATAAACTGTTCTCACTGGCCTCTCTTTTTACTGAGTGATACTTGGCAGTGTGAAAGAAGGTACAGAATTATATGTTCTGATGGAAAATCTGAAATGGCTTCTCATGGTTGGATTTGGTGCTGGGTAGCATTCAGTGGTTTGAATATTACAACATGCAGCTTTTGGCAGGGCTCCTTCACCTGGGTTCAGCGCAGGGCCAGCGTTGTTGGGCTGCATTTGGAAACATTTCTACAGGACTGCCCTGATACCCCACATCTAGGAGACCACTGAGCCTCTTGGGGAGACATGTCTGCTTGCAAGATGAATGGCACTATAAGTGGTGAAACCAGTTAAATAAATGGTGCTAATTTTTGTGAGTCTATGCTTGCATGTCCTACCAGCATATCTGCGCTGGAGAGTCAACTTCAGGACCGAATCAGGACTGCTGGCGGCCCCGAGTTCTTACCTTCCATTATAATTCTCCATGATGCACAGAATGTCAGATGGAGAGGGACGTGGGAAAGTGAACCCATAGGCTGAAAGCTGTCATCTAAACGGGATACAAAAGGCTGCACTGAGGTGTGACCGAATCGGAAGGCCAGGGAGAAAACATTTGACACCGTCGGATCCACAGTCTCGTTGTAACCGCTGTACAAGGGAATCCACCTGCTGGTCTCCTCTGCAAGCAGAAGTGGTATATAATCTCTGTATGTTATTATCTGAAAAACATACCATAAAGGTAGAACAATCAGAAGCTACAGCAGAAATGACATCAAATTCAAAGAGAATTTGGAATCTCCATGAGTTCTTCAAGGAATAATTTTGCTGCATTTGGAGGAGGAAAAGCAATTTCTAAGAAGAGCAGTGGTCACTACCTGGGTCATGGCAGCTATGATGTTTCGACTCTCCTGGTAAAGCTTTTCTCCATCCCAGTGAGGATTTAACTTCCCCAGCTTTGTCACCAGGCGATTGTGCTCTCGGAGGAACACAGTGTGCAGAGCAGAAAGTCCCAAGTTCTCCGTTACCCGTTTGTCACCTACAGATGAAAGTGTTTTAGGAAACTGGTCAACTGCTTTATATTTCCACAGCAGATTTTGATGATAGGGCAGATATGTAGTGTTGTTGGTTAAGTTTCCTAGCAGTTTTTCTAAGCCTCTGGTTACGTTTCCTAGCAGTCATCAAGTCATGCCAGATATTTCCAGCACAGACCAAGAATTTTCTTTCTCCCTCTCCAAATAATTTAGCCAAAACCATTGGAGAACCATAGAAAAGACACAGAAAAGACCTCTAAGACCACCCAGTCACCCACCTACCACCAATATTGCTCACTACGTCCCTCACTGCCATATCTCCACGTTTCTTGATCATCCCCAGGAACAGTGAAAAAGGGATTTGGGCAATTTGGACTAAATTGCACTTGTTCATGAAGCAGCTGTAAATATCTCATTTTACGACAACCTGCTGTCTGTCTTCCTCTTGTACCTTAAGGCTTTCAGCAATCTTCCTTTGTATGAACGTTTGGTTTTGAAAATATGTCTCAGCTCCCTCAAGTTATAAACACCTTTGAGAGATCTATGAATGTGCTTTCAGCAGAAATGGTGGAGGCAACTGGGAGAGACATGGTGAAGTCCCTCCAACAGCTGAAGGTACAAAAATGAGTCTCTCCTCCTGCACCAAGGGGCTCTTCTCACAGGCAATAAGAGACAAAATTGCTGTACAGATGCACCTTACCAGCTCTAAAGCAGGGGATGTTCATGCTCTTGTTTGTGAGCACACAAACACTTTTTGTTTTGTTCTCAAAGGGCAATAATTCCAACCCAGCATCAGTGAAATTCTGGTTCACAGCCATCAGACCCAGCTGGTTTGTCTGGTTCCTGAGGCTCTTTGCCACAGACTCCTCGCTGCCGTACACCATGCTGGCATCGATGAAGGAGGTGACAGCATTGATCTGCTCACGAGTGAACGTCCAGGGACTGCACACAGAAGCTGACTGGATAAATGGCATGCAGGAATTTGATTTCAGCATCCGCGGGTCATCGGGGGGGAACTAAAGGGAAGAAACATGAGTAATGCCTCAGAGAAAGCCTTGTGGTTGTGTCTGTTTGTTCCGGGACGGAAGTCATGGTACCTTAATTGGGAAGCAAGGGGGCCTGAAGCTGCAGTCAGCATCACAGTGAAGCTCTGGGTTTGCTCCTATGCCACTGGAAGGGGCCAAGTCTACATCGTGGTTGACCCATTGGCCCCACTGCATGAAGAAAAGAGAAAGCTCTTGATCTTGAGTGATGTTCTCATTGGCTGTATGAGCAATTTCATTGGACACTTTTCGAACCTGCAGAAAATCAAAATTGAGATGCGTGTGACTGTCCGTGCCAAGGGGAATTCACCTCCCAGTCTAACTCCTATTGTGAAACCATGGATAAGACGGTCTCAAATGAGCCCTTAAGGGTTAATTATTGCATTACATAGAATGACATTATGCTTCAGTTGGACCTAAACGGGTGTGATATGCAGCCTCTAGCCCTTTGGCAGCACCGTCTTAACTCTGTAGTCACCCAGCCAAGCCTCACCTTAAGCAGGCCTGAGCTCAACCTGAGGGATGTGCATATACCCAGAAAGAGAGAAGATGGCTGAGGGAAGATTTAGGTTGGACATAAGGAAGAAGTATTTGCAGTAAGGGAGGTGAGGCACTGGCACAGGTTACCCAGAGAGGCGATGCAGACACCCAAGGTCAGGCTGAAGGGGCTCTGAGCACTGATGGAGCTGTGGGTGTCCCTGTGCATTGCAGGGGTGTTGGGCCAGATGGCCTTTAATGGTCCCTTCCAATTTTAATGAGTCTATGAGAGCACCAGCATCTTACTCTTTGTACAAAAATCCTGGCATACCTGAGTGCAGGATGGTGCTGCCTGCACCCAGCCTCAGGATGCACACTTTGGAAAATACTCTGATCTTGCCCATGCTTTGGCCCATGCCCTTGCCCATAGTGAAGTACTTGCATCATTTTTTCTTTGTCTCATGAGCTTAAGACATACCTCAGTTTGAGAAAATTATTTGCACCTGAGGTCACAGAAAAGGATCATTCATTTCACACTCTAGATGTTATCGGTGTTCCAAACTGATGGGTGCAGTTCAACCCAGGCCAGTCTATGATTCTATCAGTAATGTTATCCAGGCAAGTATAACTGTTCTCACCAGTGGGAGTGGAAATGCATTATAAAGCTTTCCTTCAGTTGCTCCTCTGGGAACAGACACTCCATCTTCATACGCTGCTGGGAGCCAGCGAGCGAATGCCTGGTTGGAAACCCCCAAGTGAGGTTTCTTTCTGGAACATCAGAAAAAAAGCCAACACCAGTATTATTTCAGAAATGAACAGGCTTGTAAAGATAAATCATAGAACCATTAAGGTTTGAAAAGACCTCTAAGATCATCCAGCCCAACTCTCAGCCTCGCAACCAGCATTGCCCACTGACCATGTCCCTCATGATTGGCAGCCTTTGGTCCATGTCTGCCCACTCCACTAGCAGGGCTGATAGCCAGGAAACATTGAGAAGTAAGCAATACTGAGATAATTCCTGTAGATAAAAATTAACTTTTTAACATCAAGAAAAGATTCCTGATGACGTATTAATTTTATTTGGAATTTCTATCTCTGTAGCATCTCTGTCTCTGCTGCTGCTCCACACAAACTCACAGTCTCACAGTATGGCCATCTCCAACTATCAGAGGAGCTGTGCTTTTGTCCACCTGAGGCCACCGACCATCTTGGAAATCCTCTGTTGAATCCTACCCAGTTTTTGCACATCCCTCTTGAACTGTGGGGTGTTCAAACCTGAAGGACCTCTAACAGCAGGTCATGCTATGATCCGCTGACCTTATCTGAAGTATGAATGCACAGTGAGAGAACTGCTGAACATACCTGTGTTATCTCATGGTGTGCATTTCAAGTTGAGCAAGAGCCTTTAAAAATATTCTCATGTCACAGTGTGACATACTTGGTGGGGTATACTGATATTCACAGCACCCATGAGACACATGCTTTTAAAAATATTGCTTGTGTACTCAATCTAAGACGTGTGAAGTTTGAAATCTAACCATCAGCACTCTTACCAGATTCAAAGTGTGATGCCTCCCAATGGCTAATTAATACTGCTGTGCCACAGAAGAGATAAAGCAGTATTCTGGGGCCTCAAGTGGAGAGAGGGGCTGAATTTCATGGCTCCCAGATTTTCTTTTCTCAACTTTTCACCTTCCCCCACTCCCAAGAAGTTCTTGGGAAGCAGCACATGGAAGCCATGGATTCATATCTGATGTTTTCAAGACATGAGATCTTTTTCCTGCCCGTACGAAGCAGAAAGGAAACATCAGTTACATCACAGGTCCTACCTGTTGTTGCACTCTCCAGTAATGGTCCGGAAAATGTCACCCCCTGGGCATTTAACGGGGCGAATCTGATAGCCACAGCCAGTTTCTTTGGAAATCATCTCCTTCTGTTCCCTATCCAATATGTCTGTGAAAGAAACGATGCAAAATGACATCTGCTCTTAAGAAATTGTATTTTATCATCTCAGCATTCTCAGCTGATGATTGAAGTTTTCTGTATTATTAGTAATGTCAGCACCCACTGCACCAGCATCTAATGTTATTTCACACTTCCTCCAATTTAAAGCAGGAGAAAACATGCTCTTGCTGTGGAATACATTCTGTCACTAATAGAATCTGTCTACTTCACCTCTCAGCAGCACGAGAGCCTTGGTGGGGATCACAGAGCAGGTCTGCACTGCGTGTCAGCAACAGAATCCCTCCAGGTAATGCTCCTTCTCAAATCTTAAATGCCCAATAGTTTCAGTGAGCTCAGAGACTGAGCTTCATGACTCATCCATGAAGAAGGTTCATGCACCGTCTTTAGGTGCACAGAGTTAACCAGAGACTATCCTAGGGGTAGTTACACTGACTCTGGTCATGACTCACCCTAGCAAATGGAGGTCTCCACTTATCCTAATTTTGTTACAGATATTAGTTCCATGGCATTTATTGGTATAAGAGCACATATGCAAAAATATGCTGTGAACCAGCTGATACTCGGAACCTGAATTCCCTAGAATAACTTCTGCCTCTGAGTCTCTCTCTGTGCCACATATCATCAGCTCATCCAGAGTCACTGCTCTAGTAGCTAAATCCACCCCTATTAAGCAGAGTCTGTGGACAGTCCAGTATGCACTGCATTTGCACAGCTGCCCAGGGAGCTGATGGTCACAGTCCCTGGAGGTGTTCCAGAATCATGGAGATGTGGCACTCAGGTTATGGGAATGGTGGGGTGAGCTGGGGTTGGACTTGGGGATCTGGGAGGACTTTTCCAACCTTAATGATCCTGTGATTCAGTGATGCCCTCCTCAGCCAGCTGCCAAGAATGTGGCTTAAAACACCTTCAGCCAAGCGACTTTATCTCTCTAATGAACTGCTGTTCAACCCAAAACTTACTCTGTGTGTAGTCAGCTTCAACTGGGACAAACCCTACCCCAAGAAAAGGGTCTGATGAGATGTGAGACATAGATGGTGAGCCTTAGAAGTGACAGATGACACCACAGAGCTCAGCCCTAATGAAGTCTTTCACACTGACAGATTGTCCACGTCAGCTTGGTGGATGCAGCCCCATCCACAGAAGAGCTGCACTGCAGCACAGCACTGAGCCCAGAGAGACCACTGAGCTGTGGCAGGGTTTAGCTCTAATCAGCAAGGTTATATGACAGTTCTTTTCTTTGTTCTAGTAATTAATCCATTGGGAAGAAGGCAGGGTGTACCATGCAGACCTCTGGAAGGATTTGAAGAACTCAGTTTGATATCTCAGAAACATTCCGTCAAGATAGATAAGAAATTGCTAATCTCTGGATCCTTCCTGTTCTCTAGCATGGGAGGACTGGGCCACTTAGAGACATGCTAGCTGTGAGTTGGGTCAGAACTGTGGAGATACAACATCTGTATAACATCTGGATTTTCACTGTTAAGTTGAGGCCTAAACACTTCTATCGGCAGTGGATCAGCTCAGGAAGTGCAGTCTCCTGGTGCTCAGCCCATTATGCCCCAGGTTTATCCCACTGATTTCTAGCAATCCTGTTACTATTCCACTCACACTCTCTTGATATTATCATCAAAGACAGGAACAGAGATACGCAGTGCCACAGCTGATGACTGAAACACCAGGTGGTCCAGGTCTGCCTCTGAGCATCTTTCAGCCCCTGCACACCCAGCACCCTTCAGGCAGGTTGACACCAGCTGGCAGCCTGGGGAAGGGTTTCCCCAGTTATCAGGATCATGGCAGGGCTCTGTAATCAGCAATCTGGGTCAATGCAGAGCTGCTCTTCGACACACATGCTGTGGTAGCTTTTCCTTTGCTGGCAAGATATTTTGGTCCACAACACATTACCTGTAATGTTGAATCTCATCCTCCCTGACTGCCGCAGCTTTCTTTTGAGGAGCTTCAAAGTAGTTTCCAAGTAGTCGGCAGCACGGACTGCAGATCTGGTTCTTCCTACTGGATCCTTTAAGTGCTTCAGGAAATCCACTGGGCTGGCAAACTCATCCCCTAGTTTTTGCTGTAAGCTAAACAGAACAGAGCTTTGTGGGCTGCCTACTCTGTAAACACCTCCTCTGCCCTCTGGGGCTGGTGTACTTAGATGTGATGGAACTAGCAGGTCCCCAGGCACGCTGTGCTCTTCTGTAACAACCTGACTGCTCCTCAGATTTGCACATCTCCCTCTCTCAGTAAAATTTTGGGAAATGAGTCATTGTGACTCCTTTCGGGTTTGCTTTATATCCTTGTCAGAATAAGACCTATTAATCTACGTGAAAAGCTATAAAAATTGGTGGTAAACTGAGTTTTTCAGTGACGGAATAAGATGTTACATTTAGGATGTCACAGTATATATTCTATGAGCAGAGACAATCTTGGATATGTTGCTTCTGTTCCTGTTCATTCGTAGAGAGAGACCCTCCCCCAGAGGTCAACCTGCACTGCCACACCACCAGCATCCACCTCTGACATCGTGGGCCAACATCGTAAAACAGGAGGCAGTACTTTCGGAGCGGCCCTCGTAGGTTCTCTCTTACTGCCTCATAACATTGGAGCTTTCGTGCAAAAAAGGACTCACCACTTCCGAGCACGTGAATACGCCGCGTCCACCTGCTGCTTGGCTTCACTAACGCTGCTCAGGAGGAGCGAGTCCGACAGCACTTCTGAGCCCTCTACTCAAAAAGGGGGAAATAAACAAGCTGAGATACGCTGAATGTGCACAAGGAGCTCTGCGTCCCACTGCGTCACTTTCCCACTGTATTCTGGTGTTACATTAATACCTTTATCCGTGTTCCTCTTGCTCATCTACCTCACCCCACTGCTGAGGTTCTGAAAATCATGGGACTGTAGATGACCACCAAATTATAGCTTTTTATCCAAGTCAAACTTGACTCTCTTGACTTTGAGAGGTTTTAGGGAGTTAACTTTCGTCTTTCTTATTCAAGGTATTCTTCTCTGTAGAGGGATATTCACTTGGGACGTGCATAGAGGAAACCTGATATATGGGCTGTGACCAATCTTCCTGCCATAAAAAGATACTCATGTCCTCAAGAGACCTAACATAGATAATTCTCTTAGGCACTGACCACCGCTAGTGGGTAAATTTCAGATATATTGGATATATTTCAAACACATTCAAGTCATTTTCCCTGGAGGTGTTTGAGAACTGTGGAGATGTGTCACTGAGGGACGTGGTCAGTGGGCTCGATGGGATGGGTTGGGGTTGGACGTGGTGATCTTAGAGGTCTTTTTCAACTTTAAGATTCTACAATTCTATATTGAAACTGTAACTAGGTAATAATCAGACTGACTTGGACTCGAATCCCCCACCCAACGCCACACCTCTTCAAGCAGAAGAGCAACAGAGAGAGAAACAGAAAATTACTGTTTAATGAGGAGTCTGATGCCCCAACTGAGCAGAATGTGATGAGGGATCCTAGGAGAGCCATTCTCAGTTTTATACCTAGAGGGAAACACAACATCATTCTCAGCTCACTCTAAGGGAATGTGCAGGGATTCTCTGAAGCATCAGAAGAGATTGACTGATGTGCTAGCACAGGTCCTCCAGCACGTATGTGGGGAGATACATAGTGTACATACAATGGCAGGTGGCTCCCCTGAAAGGAGACACTTAACTAAAAGATTGCAGTTATACATATGTATATATATACATAAAAGTCATTTTGTCAACATTTTAACTGTTTAAAACAGGAAAAACAGGCAAAATAAGGAAGAATTAATGAACTTGCTGCAATGGGGAGGGAGGAGAGCTCTCTTTTCCCACTTCTCAAAATAAGTGCATTTCAGCTACGCTGGGGGAAGGAATTGAGAATAAATAATGGTTTCTTCATGCCCTACTCAATCCTCTCATCTCCTTGTGCTCAGCCAAGGAATGCATCAATACCAGTAGCAGTAACATCCAAAGGGCTAACTACGGATATAGGAATAAAAAGCACTCATCTTACCTGCCATCTCTGCAGAACTGGTGAGACTAGGAAAGCAGCCAGTCTTATATAGCATCTGCAGCAGGGCAGGAATCAGCTGGGTCTGACCTGGGAGTGGCCAAATGGGGAGAACTTGGGAACAAGTTGAGCCAAAAGGAAATGTCTACTGGCTGAATTGAGAAAGTTGCACACTTCTCTATCCTTTTTTTGTAAATGTTGTCTTACTTTTTGGCAAACCAGTTAAAAAGAATAAAGGCACACAGCTCTTTTCTACTAGGTGAAAGGGACAGTCTGAATTTTATGAAAGTAAACGGTGGCGGTGGGAGTTAAAAGGAGTCAGATCACCAGTGATTTGGAAATGAGAATAAAATCAGTGCTGCTCCTTGTGGGTGGCAAAGACTGGACAAAGAACAGAGCAGTTGCACAGAACAAGATGGAGCAGGGGGAGGCAGGGCTGCGCTTCCGTGGGCAGACAGGAAGGTGAGCAGGAATTTACCTCTTTGAACAGCAGTCAAGATTGTTCCAAAAGACAGAGCTGATGACTGCAACGGGAAAAAAGTGCTACACGTGTCCTTGTGCCTGGTATCACTGCCACACAAAAGAGAACTGTGGTTTGAGTTCAGTTTAAGTAACCAAACATCCCTTAGAGAAGCCCATCAATTTACCAGAAGAGAGATTAAGTACTGACTTAGAGTTTGCATGCACTTTAACACCCCTTATCAGCCATGAAGAGCTGAAAGCAAAGCCCAGTGCTAAAAAGAGGGGTACATTCCTGTCCCTGCTCTTCCTCCAGCTATCTACCCACACTCTTCTCTTCTTCAGTGGAGGAGCAGCACCTTCAGGCTGTCCAAACCATTGGGGGATGTGAAATCCTTACTTCTGCTGCACTGTGGATCATCTCTGCATTCTACTGGGGAATGAGGAACAACTGCAAACTCATCTGACTTGACCAAAAGATTACCATTGGAAATAAATATTATGAAAGGCAAGAAAGAACCGACATCAGACAGTATTTTTATACTGCATTCATCTTTAATCTCTTGATAATATCAGCTCAAGATCAGATAGAAGAGAGAAGATCAGATAGAATAGTGTTACTGTGGAGTAATAAACTCTGCCTGCCAATAGATCAAGGGGCCAAAAATTTGGGATGGTAAAAAGCCTAAAGCCATAAAATGGAATTGCCAAATACAGGGTCTGAAGTAGACAAAAGTAAAGCAATTTTCAAATAACTGTGAAACCTTTGAGAAAAGGATTAGTCCAGAGACTGGTCAGGCACATTAACAGGAGCAATAACATTCCAAAATGTGTTAAGCACCATGACACCATGGTATATGGTATATGGGCAGGTATTCCAGAACTACAAACTGCTGACAGAAGTTGGAGGAGAATCTTAGAATCATAGAATCACAAAATCATCAAACTGTTTGAGTTGGAATGGACCCTAAAGGCCATCTATCCCAACACCTCCAGCTGATCAGGGCTCAGAGCCACTTTCCCTGACCTTGGGTGTCTCTGAGGATGGGGCACCCACCGCCTCTGTGGCAAACAGCACCACACATCTGCTTTGCTGACTTTTCCTCTCCTATGACTGTATCCAACTCGCTCTGATCCACACAAGATTAGACATTAGTGGACTCCGCAGTGTTTGAGAGAGTCCAGGGATGATTCATGTCTGAATAACAGGATATTTAGGTAGTTCTACATCCACTAGGATGTATTTTCTTCTAGATCAGGTTTTTGATACTTGCTTACAAGAATAAGTGGAAGCAGGGTCAACTGGAACTCACCTGCGGCAGCTTCTTCTTTCTCCTCCTGCCCTGACTGGCTTGGCACAGTTTCTTGAGCAGTCATTGCTGACCCTTGCTCATCACACTGGCAGTTAAATAATCAGACACTTTGTCAGCACTGCCAGAAGTGCATCCAAGCACTGACAGAATTTCCAGTTCCTCCTTCTGAAGAGAGTCAGTCCAGATCAGCCCTGCACAGTGTCCTTCATTCTGTACCAGGAATTAATGCTGTTCTGTTTGATCAGAAATCAGTTACTGTCCAGAATAAACCCTTCCCCACTTCATCACTGTTATTTATTGTCATTATGGAGATCAGCTATTGTAAGGAGACGACACTCAAGAGGAACTTGTCATGGATGATCAACTAAGTAAATCCCACAAGATTAAGAACCCAATCCTTCCTACTCTTCAAATATTTACACAGACCTTACAAAGCCAAAATAAATAAAAATATAAGGAAGAAAACTGCAAACAAACATACATTATGTTAAATCAAACACATGTATACACTGGTGAAGGTTAGGTTTGCAGGAACTGAAAGCGCAAAACCCTTTTTCCTCCTCTAAAATTTCATTTTAGATGCAGAATGTGGCTGAGTCACCTGTCCTTTGTGCTGCAGGTGTGACACTGGACGTGTCCTGCATCACAGCCCAGGTCCACCTCTGTTACCCAGGGCTTTCAGCTGCCCACCCCCATCTAGGCATTGCAGTGTTCTGATGCCATCTGTTGAGCTTCAAGAGGAAACTGGATAGCCTGCCAATTTCTGTCCATTCAGCAGAGCATTCAGGATGTATGGGGAACTGGAGCATTAGTTATTGATTAGTTAGCCTATCTCAATCACAAGAGGTCCTCTGTCAGTTCTCCTCTCTGTTCTGAGTGAATAGTTTCAGAGTTCTTCTCTTTTGGACTCTTGAAAACAACCCAATCTTTGTAGTTAAGTAACCCACAGATGCAAAAAGAAAAATCTTGTATTCTTTAGTTCCTGTCTTAAAAGCAAAAAAGAACATAGAATCATGGAATCACTTGGGATAGAAGGGACCTTTAAAGGCCATCAGGTCCCACTCCCTGCAGGTACAAGGACACCCACAGCTCCATCAGTGCTCAGAGCCCTCAGCCAGACTTTGGCTGTCTGCAGGGATGGGGCATCATTGCCTCAGCCAGTCCCCCACTGCCCCTATTGTACAAATCTTCTTCCTTGCACCCAATTTAAATCTCCCCCATTTTAATTGGAAGCCATTCCCCTTATCCTGTCACAACAGACCCTGATAAAGAGTTTGTCCTCTTCTATCTTACAGCCCCACTGTAGACACTGCAAAGTTGCTCCCAGGTCTCTCTTTTCCCCTGTTTGGTACGCCTCTGATTTTCTTGCAAGCCCTTTCGGCACCCATTTTTATTGCAGAGACACGTTTATATGTTAAAATACATATTATGTATTAAAATATTTTCAATTTGTAAACTCCAATATACATAAACTCCAAGTGAACCACCATTCCTGAAGGTTAACAAACTTAACTCAGGTTAAGAACTCAATTCAGGTACAAATTCATACCTAAGCTTTGTTCTTCACGTGCCAAAGACTGATTGTTCCTGCATTTCAAACAGTGAATTTATTTACCTACTACTTACAGCCAAGAGCCCATCGAAGCCTGACCTTGTGAAGGGCATTGTGGCATCGAGGAAACCAAACCACTGGTGCAGAAAACCTCAGATCCAAGAGAAGCACAGCAGAGCTTATAGAGGAAGAGAGTGAGCAGGATAAAACAGAACAGGTAACAAGTGTTCGGCTGCTGGCACAGAAATTCTTACTTAAGCAGAGGAGGGAAAGTTCCCAGTGGTTCAGAAGTGACATTTAATCAAAAACCGTTTGTCCAGCTTTCAGTGAAGCATAGAATTATTCAAGATGGAGAAGACCTCTGCTATCATCCAGTGAACCTCAACCCACCCCACCATGCCCACTGCCCACGTCCCCCAGTGCCACATCTGCACAGCTCCGCAACTCCTCCACGGACAGTGACCCCAGCGCTCCCTGTGCAGCTCTGTCACTGCAGCACTGCTCTTTCTGAGAAGAAGCTTTTCCTAATATCTGAATAGAAAAATTATATATTTGTGAATATAAAGGTTGCAGTGCTAAAAAATAACCTTAAATCTCTTTGGAGAAGGGCATCTAGTGCTCAAAGCCAAATGTGGCACTGAGAATTGGCCACTGGATCGTTGAGGGTAAAGCCAGTGATGGGGATACTCTGCACAGGTCCTGCAGAGGTCCAGCTATCTGGAAAAGCTTTTATGGACACAAGAGGTCAGGACAGGCTGCTTCTGGCTGCACTCTGAGCGATAAGAGTCCAAACCCAGAGGGGTGAAATCAAGCAAGTTAAAACCCAAGTGTCTGTGGGATGTGGGGGTACTACAGCTCTCCTACCTGTGACGGTTCCCTTGGCTCCTGCACACCCATCCATGGAAAGATCTCAACCTGAATGGCCCAAACGAGTCCTGCCCAGCAGCCAACACAACCCTTCCATAGGAGCAACGCTTCTTTTCTAGAGCTTGTCCTTCCCGTTTTCCCATGGCCCCAACAGCACTTAACCACATGAAGTACTGCTGGGACTATCGGTGCTCACTGGATCAAGGTATGATCACAACAGCTCGTGTTCACCTTTTGCCAGGTAGTGGGATGCACCATGAGCAGTGACTGCAGTCAGCAGCTGTGCCCAGCAAAGCCAGTGCTGGAGAGAAGCTGTCGCTGTTTTCTGTAGCTTGAAAGATAAAAGCAGAGTTGGAGCATTTCTCTGAAGAGACAAAGTCTGTCTCATGAGTGCTGCTTTTGTTGTGGTTTTTTCTCTTCCTTTTTTTTTTTTTTGTGTGTGTGTGTGTCTGTGTGGCTCTCTGTGTTGTGTAATATTAAATAATGCCATTTGTTACACGAGAAGAGCTGTCATTTCTCCTCTTGTATTTTTCTACAAGCACATCCTGTTCTTCTTAATAGGCAATATTGTTTTGTCTGTAAATATTCCATTGAAATGTAAACAGGTATTCGCTGACAATGACACAAGATACAATAAGAAAAAAGGCATCAAAAATGAATCTCTTGAGCTGTGCTGTGGGAATTCTGAGCAGTGTGACAAAAGCCTGAGTGCAGCCAGGCTGCAACAGCCAGGTGAGGAAATCTCTCTGAACCCAGATATTGCCCAGACCACACTTCCATCCTTCTCGCCCCCTTCGGACAACCTACATGTCACCCAAGGAGGCTGTGGATGCCCCATCCCTGCAGGCATTCAAGGCCAGGCTGGATGTGGCTCTGGGCAGCCTGGGCTGCTGGTTGGCGACCTGCACACAGCAGGGGGTTGGAACTGATGAGCATTGTGCTCCTTTTCAACCCAGGCCATTCTATGATTCTACTGTTCTATGATTCTGTGATTCAGACATTTCCTGCAAGCTCCTCTGTTTGGATACCAGTGCTCTCCAAGCCCATCTGCTGCTGCTGCTCTGGTTCTCTCCATGTCCCTCTGTTGGGATCTGGAGTCCCCATATCCTTTCTACACACACAACGGGCACCACTATGTGTCTGTGTGTTCAGGTTCCTGCATTTGTCACCTGAAGGTATTTGAACCCCCACCCTGAAATGAAGCCTCTCTCCAGCAAAGTTTTTTGGATACGAAATGAACTTCATGCTCAAAGAGTGTAAAAGAACACACAGACCTCATCTTTACTAACTGCGCCCATCAGGACATGTTTCCAGATCTGAAGACTTTTCTCTCTTGTGTCTTACTTTAGCTCATGGATGTCCAATCCTTTGGCTTGCACGGACCATACTGAGTGAAGAGGAGGTGTCCTGGACTGCATATATGTAGGTTATTCCAAATCCTCCAATTTATCTCTGTGGAAACTACAACTAATACAATGAGCACAGTAACACTGGTAGACCTAATTCCCAGCCACAAAACACTATTTTCAACATAGCCACCACCATTAGCTACACATTTCACCAGCAGTGAGCAAAAGCCTGCACGCTATGCTCTTTAGAATCTGCTTGGCCATCTGGAAAATGGCTTGTCTTTCGTGTCATTGCTGAAGCACACCACCCACTCCTCACTGTGCTCACATGAGCTGGTTGGTCTCATCAGCATCCAACGAGCATCAGTGAATGTCAGTGGGTGCCACTGTTTCTGCACAGAGGAGTTCAATGACACACTTTGCTCCATCCACCCTTCTGTGTCAGACACCGTTCTGTCAGACTGCCCCTCTGCTGCCAGCTGTCACACAGCAGCAGCACAAAATGGGGCACTGGTGAGCAGGTTCAACCCCTACTGCTGTACCACCAGCATCCACCTCTGATGTCATGGACTGACACCATAAAAAAGGAGGCACATTTTTTCCATTCACAGGTCTGTGTTCAGCCAACGTATCAAAGTGCACGCCATTATTTGACACCATGTGAGCCCTCCCATGCCCTGCTCTCAGCCCATGCAGTGTCCATCACACACCAATGTTTGGCCATTGCTGAGTGTTGGTGTGTGCCTGGGGCCTCTCCCTTGTCACCGCAGCGGGGACCTGAGTCAGGAGAGGGTCTGATGTCCCCTGGGGCCAGGTGACAGCCCAGGGCACCCCCCTCCTGGACCTTTGTGCATCAGCTGTGATGGCCGAGTGGTGAAGGTGTTGGACTTGAAATCCAATGGGGTTTTCCCTGCGCAGGTTCAAATCCTGCTCACAGCGGGAGTTTTTACTGACAGCCCCTGTCCTCCTGTCCCCAGGAGGGACAGACAGACACACATCCCCACCACTCCTCACCGAGGGGTCCCTGCTGTCCCCATCTGCTCTGGACCCTCATCTTTTGTTGGCCTCTTCCCCTTCAGGGTGGCCAAAATGGCCAAGTACCTGCATCTCTCTTGCCACAGGATGAAACACACACAGCTGCAGCACCCTGCTGCCTACAAAGCACTGCTTCCTGCTGCCAGGACAGCGCAGATTTCTGCTGGAGGGTGCAGCCTGATGGCAGTGAGGAAGAGGAGTGGATTGCCACTGGTCCTCAAGATTTACCCTGCCCTGTCTGCCCACACAGATCTGCCCAGA